TCTTGCATCATTTATTTTTTTTCTTTTTTTTCTCTATGGAAAAATAAAATTTGAAAAGATAAAATAGAAATATGGAAAGATATATGGAAAAATAAAATAGAAAGAAGTTCAGTTAAAAAAACAGGTCTAATAAATTCCTGTATGTATACACGTGTATAGGACCATGTGTATAAGACAAAGATAAGAAAGATCCTTTATTTTTGTTCATGAATTTAATATTAAAAGGAATTAAAAAATACAAAGGTGATAACGTTAATTCAAAAAAGTACAAAAACTTATAACGTACAATTAACAGTACAATTATAAAATGACCAATATAATTTATAAAGAATACGAATAGAAAATAATTATATTTTAAACTGAAATTTCGGGGCCTTTTAATAGTGGGGATCCTATCGTGGTGTACCTCTATTTGCACAGCCCTGCGTACATATATATTTACCAATCTTCGTAACCTTGTTAGTATAATTCCTTTAAAATTGTCACAAGGGTAACTAATCTGCATGGTTATTTAGATTTAAGAACTTATGGACACGTTATATTGCAACACACATATCGCATGCATGCATGTTAATATAACGAAACAATGAAAAATTGAAACAAGATAACATAATCTGATTTAAGAAAAATGTGATATTTCGTTAGATTCAAGTAACAAAAAATTGAGATGAAGATAATGGAATATAATTTTTTAATTATAAACGTAAAAACCGTTGATACTTTAATAATCCAAAGGTCGGTTTAAAGATATTTAAATATCTTACTCTTATCAGATAAGAGCTTTAAAAGCTTCTTTTAAGAACATTATCATTGCAATTATTATTATTCATATCGAACTTAATATTTTTCAAGACTACTTATTTTCCATATCTTTCAAGGCAATCTATCGCGGAGGTATTCGGCAGAACCGCACATGCGCGGAATCTGTTCACTTTTCGAACGAACCTCATTTCGACCACACCGATTTGTTGATACACGTGTAGCATTACGAGTAGGTCGATCTAAAACCCCCACGATTTAACAGCACTCGAACATTACCCGACATTCGGAGGTGCGAATTATATCGCGCGTGCGCAGAGACATGAAGCATGCGCACTCGGACACCGTCCTATTTGCGTTGCGTGCGTCTCAGTTTCGCTCAGTTCACGACGGTGTCCCGTCGCGTTCGGTTGTGTTTCTCGTATGGTCACAGTACGCGAGACGACGATCCCCAACCTAATAGGACGTCGCGTATGTAGTAGGAAGTGCATTCTCCTCCGTCAGGCCGTTTACCCTGTCCGACATTGTTACATTGTTCGTCGCGCCGTCGGACGAACCTCTTGCTGCAGACGAAACTCCGGTGCTCGGAACAGCTGAAAACCGCCGCCTCGTCCCCATAGACGTCGATCGAAACAACACGCGCGTACACGCTTGCTGGTGAGTATTACGCAGTCAGGCAGCATCAATGTCCGCGTAACAAGAACGTGTTCTATTATTAGAAATCGTAGGAAGAAAAAGAAAAGAATAGAAGGAGAGTAAGAGAATGGAGCAGGAGGGGGGATTATGTGGCTTACTTTTTGGTCTGGAGGCGCGGCCGCACGTTCGACCAATCGCCTGCGAGCCTTCAGCTTCTCTCCCTTCGCGTTTTACCGATGTGATTGTTCTCTGGAGAAACATGATAGCCTTCTGTCTTCTCGATTTTTCTTTTAACTTTTCTTTCGAAAGACATTCTTTTAACGGGCTACCTGCTTGACCTTTTACAATTGTGTTGACTCCATGTCCATGTTGAATGAGGCTTTCTCATCTGTGAAATGTGGCGGGATATAACACTTATTTAGCACATCTGGTTAACATACATTAAAATTCGAATTCTATTGTGGCTCTATGTATGACGTATAATTGATTAGTAAATACAACGTGTTTTCAGTATCTACGATGTATGTACACGTTACGTCAACAGGAAACTATGGAAAAATAAATGTGAGAATTATGGCAAGATAATATTCTAATTTCTTGAAAAATTAGAATTCTCCGAGATAAAGAGTTTCCTTAGACACACAGACATTTTATCGATATATGCCGTGTTAGATCATAATTATTTTAATTTATTATTTGTATTCTATTTTTGACTATAGTTTTTCTTCTTTTTTTGTATTATAGTTGTTTTATTATGTTCACAAATAATTTGTGTGTGTGTGTGTGTGTGTGTGTGTGTGTGTGTGTGTGTG